ACCGTTGTTGTCAAAACTTGGCCTTTTTAAGATGAGTGAACTTCAACCCCCAAAATTCCCCAGCCAGCATAGCATAGCCGGCTGGGGAATTCTGGGAGTTGAAGTCCACTCATCTTAAAGAGGCCAAGTTTGGACAACACTGGCCTAAACCAAGTAAGACTTCACTGTGGGTGAACTGAAATAGTCATGCAAAATGGCCACGAGGCAGGTCATAGGCAGCTATATTGACTCCTCTCTATTGAATACTTTCCCTGAACACATTCTCCCCAAATGCTGCATCAGGAGTACAAAGAATGATGCACAGCATCTGTTACCTAAGAAATACCAAGTTATTGCTCCAGCTCCACCCAACAGCACCAAGACTATCAAAAGTGGGATGTAGCGTTGGCAGATAATCACTTTACTCTTCTGTCTGTTTTGTGGTAGTTCCACTGGATCCTCCTCCTGTTCTTCTCCCTCAGTCATGGTTACCTTGCCAAACAGCAAAGCAAGAATTAGGATCTATGATCTATATTTATATTCTCCAGATGTGTTAGATTTGCACATAACTATCTCTGAGGCATTTATAGATAAGGAAAAACGGAAGCAAGCACAATTTTCCAAGCTCGAGTTCTAGAACTTCAAAGTATTACTTTCTTGTGGGTTCCTTGTGAGTCCACAAGGAAGGTCTGCTCATGAAGCATGTCCAGGACTGCCAAAGAGCAGGGGAAGGACAAGATGCTGCCTTTATTCCGTGGACGGCAGCTAAATGGCATGTCAATGAATTTTATTTCAGTACTGGATGTATGATAGCATCTGATGCTACATCTAATCTGATTATACACATTTTAATGATAGGATTAGAAATTAACTATCAAGGCATGGAATTCAATATCAGCTCAGCAAGTGGAGCAGAGTTCACCAAAAAAGCTCGCTACATTATGACAATGTCTTGTAGGGAAATATTCCCAATGAAAGTGATTCCATAAATTCACCATAAATACATACCAGGGGCTACACTTCTGACAGTGCTTACACTTGACCTGAAAGAAATTAAATTTATGTCTTCCTTTGTCCTCTTTTTAATATGAGTGTGGGTGTGGGATACATGTGTGTGTGTGTGTGTGTGTGTGTGTGTGTCATTAAGTTGTCCTCTTGAAATATTTCTTTTTTGCCCTCCCTTTTGTGATTTTTCCTGTTAGAAAGTTTAATATTACATAGCAGTCCCAGTGTGAAAATGGGAATTGAACAGCAATTTCTATATACTGAAGAGCCCAAAACTAGGCCAAGTCTTCCACATTTGCTACCTTTCAAAGACTACAACTCCCAGAATTCCCAGTCAATGCAGCTGATGCTGAGAATTGTAATATCCACACAGGTGGAGGGTACCAAGTTGGGGAAAGCTGCTTGAGATGAGGCTGTATCAGTTCTTCAGAAGTAGCAAGGATGCAACTCTTGGCAATTAACAACAATCTCATTTCCCACCTTTATAGCCATCTGAAAACCAAATCACAGGCCTATAATTTGCCTCTCCAATTCATGCACAGTATTTTTTTGCTAGATTTATAGCAAAACCTCTAAAAGAAAAGAATCTGGGTTTCCATTTGCCAACTCATAGCTACCACTAACTTTGCCCTTCCTTCCTTCCTTCCTTCCTTCCTTCCTTCCT